AAAAGAACTAAACACTCACGTATCAAAGGGGAAAAACTTTACGTCGAGTTTGCAGAGGCTCTCTGATGAAAACGGGATATAGTAGCGCACATGACCAGTATGATTGACACGGATGTCGTTGTTTGATTGTAGTTTGACAACGTCGTTGAAGTTCAAACTGAAAGGTGACAGCTCAGAGAAAATGATGCCTGTGAGAACTGTAATTAAATGTTCTCTATCAAAAATGATGTGATAAAATTCCTTCTCATTAAGTGACGCTCGTCGGACTAACGGTAAGCTTGTAGATATGAACCGCCGCAGGGTTCTGCGTGTCATAAGCCTTACACTCCATGCATTCAAGCGCGTTAGGTGCTAGCGTCTGTAATTTAGCGGAGCAATGCGGCAACGCCTCTGCATTCTTTCCCCAGACCAGGGCGTAGATTTGGGAAGAAGACGTCCAGAGGTGGTGCAGACAAGTCACTTTTCTGGTCTTCCCTGCGCTCCTTCGCCTGCATTGCGTTCTATTGAAATGAGATCTGAAGCAGACAGAGTTAAGCACGGGTTGCGGAATCTGCGATGAGGGTGGGAGTCATATGAGACACTGGGTGGGTGACTGGCCCGTGCGGGCGTTATCAATGAACAGAGCTGTGGCGACTACATATAAGGGAACACTGCTGTTGCTTTCGGGGTTCGCCGAGGAGAGCGCGGTGTGGGACGCTATAGAACTTAATACAAACTGGCTCAAGTGTGAAAGAAAACAACACCATAGCTGTGAGTTACTTTCTGTCTGATCACGACGGCAGATATCATTCCGATATTGCAATGAGAGTTGAGTATGTGACGCATGCATAGGGAGGCCAACCTACACCTCTGCGCTTCAATTTCTATTCACTTCAAGTGGGAGATGTGCACCAACCGCGAAGTTTCATTATGGAAATGGGAGCGACGTAGTAGGAGAACCCTCTTGCTGTAGCTCAAGTAAACAGATGGACCAAAGATTGCAACGGACGAACTACTATCACAAGAATTGGTACTATTTACCCTTTACTGCCACCGTCGTCCGGAATGGAGCTAGTTTAACCGACATTTTATTCAAGGAGATGACATTGGCTCAAATGTCGTCTCCTGGGGTGATATGACATCCTGATAATGAACATAGAGTTAGCTTGGCTCGGAACCTCCTGGCGCCCGCGCCACAGGCGCCGGCGAATCGGGGTATTTTGGTGCTGATACTAGGAGACAAATTTTCAGCCAATTGCGTGCACGGAGAGGAAGGTCGGTCAAGGACTGGCCAGATTTCGGATTAATGAGGCAGTTAAGGGTGAGTAGTGCCCAAGAATTGTGTACAAATTTCGCTGAGTAGAATTTAGCGCCTGCACACCAAACTGTGTCCATTTACATTACCTTATAGCCTTTGAGGAACTGGTAATTTCACCAGTCCCTCAAAACGGTTGGAATGGCTCAGTGGCTAACATTTTAAAGGCTCGACCCTGTGATATGGCAGCTTTACACATTTTACGTCTCACTTTCATCGAATTCTTGTTTTCATTTGTCGACCTTGCCCTCGCACTTTGCTTCTCATGCTTCTTTTTCAAATTTCGAGCCAAATAGCATACTTTCTTATATGTAGGAGATCGTAGATCATTGAGAATGTCAAGGGGTTTTTTTTGTAAAGGACCGAATTTCCAAAAAATCGAACAGATTTGCGTTATTTATGACAGGAAATCTTTCCAGTTTTCATAGCAAAAACCAAGAGTGGTGGTTCCACCAGTCGAACATAGGGTTCTGGTTTTCTCGACTGATTTGTTTCAACTTCCGAAAAATGCATTCCAAACTCTGAACTATTTTTGAACCACTCCAAAGGTAGTGGACACAACAACTCGTTCTTGGCGAAAATGGAAGCAGAGAAGGTGAACAGTGAGAACATGAAGAAATGACGGGTGAGACGGCTGAAAAGTCGCGACGCTTATTCATCTCTGGAACTGGGAAGTACCAAGCACACGTTTGAAGGCTGTTGGCACTATAATTTGGTACTCAGCCTGAAATGCTAGCAGAGCGCTCTAGTGGGGAAATGGCGAAAAAACGAAGTGAAACGGTCAAAAACTGCGAAGAAAAGCCTTCGTTCTTGAAAAGCAATTTCGGACGAGTTTCCCGTAGGCGTATTGCAAATAACCGCTCCGGTAGGTACGGCTGCATGTATGTACTCATATATCCATTCAGCACTGCAGCCGCTTCATACCATTCCCTTCGCTTCATATTTTAAATAGCAAATGAAGCAAAACGAGCATCTGGTAAGGTCGTCCATTTGTGGGCGGGCGGGCGTGGTGGGCGTTTGGGTCGGTATGTTGTAGCTTGATAGGACCCTTATAAGGGTACCTCCCTCGAAAAATACGCTGCGCAGCGCCTACTCAGGGTCGCGGAAATCCGCCCTGCCAGGCGTATCTCGTCTCCAGGGATTTATCGTGCCAACTGCCTTTAAGACAGCAGGATGAAAAGGGAAATGGTCTAATTCTAATCATTTCTGCCAGTTAGACTATTTGCAGGTGGATGGTTCTCAGGAAGGGCCTTAAAGTATTGGTTTCCACAGTCAGCATTGACGCGCTATCTTTGCAAACAAGCCACAGCAGGATCGTATTATCCACTCGATATATTCTATATATGCCATAAGGAATTGCTCCCATTTCAAGCGAATAACTATTTGTATGGCGCTCTCATGAAGAAAAGGGAATGGGTGTGTGTAGTGGGACAGTAGGTTATTCAAGCAGAGAATAGCATTCGCTGTTCAACCTCTCGTCCCAGTAGGTTCATAGACCGTAGGCTTTAACGTTGTAAAGGAATTTCGTTTCTCAACCCAGGAGGAAAAATTGAGGTCTCATTACGAAAAAAATTTCCGATTTCGAGGACAATTTCGAAATCAGCTTTCAAAGACGAGTCGGTCGGTGTCAAGCTCAACCGCCACTTAGACCATTCAACCTTTCCAAGTTACTCTTGCTGATCCCGACATGAGAATGGTTCCAGCAACTTACAGCAATTTAAATTTAACTTGCTTGAGATAACTTCTTCCTTTTACAAAAGAAAATCACGAATGAATGAACACCCTTGGCATGATTATTACTGCTCTTGCCAACGTGAATCTTCGCGTTTTCGTTCCCGTTTCAAGTGGATTAAGGTGCAGATGGTGAAGTGGTAGAATTGCAGGTGGAACCTACCAAGGGCTACCAAGGCGTGTCGCTCCGGCTTAGACTGCGTCGTTTGATTTGTTCTTAGTCGTCAGTCCTATTCGTCTTACTGGAAAGGTTCCAGAACGTTAGTGTATCTCCCATTCTCCACTCTCTCTTGTCAGAATAGTAACACCTTCAGGACCTCGAGCAACTTGATCAACAAGATACAGGTGAAGTAAAAAGGGTCTCTCAGCAGGATTAGTAGTATTCAGAGGGAAAAGCATCTCTTTCACTCCGAGTTCAGATGCCAGAACAAACCGAAAAAAGCGAAGATATTGGCAAGACGACATCCACACGTCTGGATTGCCCATGATTCACTTTTAGATTTATGAAGTCTTTGGCCTTCGTTTTTAGCTATTTACCCCTTTATGACTTCCTGTTACACTTTCACCATTAGTCGACCTTAAACAACCAGAAATGAACCGGAAAGCGCTGTTTTCGAACTTAAAATTGAGCATATACAATTAGATGATATCCACAGATGCCGGCCACTCTGTCCTTCAACCAATTTTACGTCATAATCCAGCTTCTACTTCTGAACAAAGCCACAACTACTTCTGAATTCCCTGTACATGGGGTCGATCGTGTTAGTCCAATGACAAGTCAATGTTCCACTGCTTCCAATCGGGTCTTGTACGTGCCGCGAGGGTGGAACACCTGGATGGCCTAGAAGGTAATTGAAAAGGGATTTGAGGTGCAATTCGGCGAGGGAAAGGAGCATTTTGCTCCTTCACTGCTCCACTACTTCCGCTTTGCAAACTTTACCTGATGGAAGCTCCTGTGAAGCTGGAGCAGGCTCATCGAGCCAACTCACGAAAAGGCTCTTTAGATGGTCGAGACGTCGATGGGAATCAGCGAAAGTGCAAAAGGCCCCCTCGTCGCCGAACTGCATCAGGATCGGATCCTCGCACATCCTACAGTGATACGCGTCGCCGCTGGCACCATTTCACCTCAACTTTGTGTTCATTAATATCATTCAAATTGCCTTAGCAAGTGAAATTGACCACATTTCCAAAATCCATCACCACGAAGTACTGGTAAAGATGCGCTCTGAGCTCATTTGGGGTGGACAAGCTTCTCCGGTGTAGCTGAGGAAATCCGAATCTGGGGCATTTCATTGGGGCTTGTTTTTCTCACTGCGCCAGCCAGTTTTCCATCAGCTGTGGTCCCACGGCAGACCTAATTCTACTGAAATGACCCTGCGTTCGCAGCGGATGAGACTGTCAGGTATATCGAGCAATGATGTCCTAAGTAAAGTAGTAAAAGGGTCCACGATGAATTATTTATGGAATGTATAAATGTGAAAATTTAATCCATAAATATATAGATGCAGCTAATATATTAATGCAGCAAATCTCACGTTTTTGCCCTTAACGTGACAATTTTTTCTGGGTCATGGTCGCTGCATTACACTAGCAGTGTTCTCGCTTTGCCTTGCAACAAATTCGGTTGTGAAAGCTGTCTAGGAGTGTCCCCAAAAAGCAGTGATAAGTTGCAAGAAAGAGAAAGACATCAGAGTAGAGCCTAAAAAAACTGAAGGTTCTACAGGGAAGCCTCGGCGATGAATCAGGGACGGAGAAGGGACATGGACCGACACGCCGTAAAGCTTACATTAACGAATGGGTGGAACAAGTCGATCACTTAGAGATTGGGGATGAAGCATATAAAAGGTTCAGGAGTTGTTGAACCCTTGCTGTTGGCTTTGCTTGCTTCAACCTCCCTGGCGTTGTATTACAGACCACCAAATAAAAGCATCGAGAGTATGTTGCAAAAAAAAGGTAAAGCAGTGCAACTCGTGCAAGGCAGCTCCTCAAAATATCCACAGTATGGGGTACACACAGTCCCGTCAGAGCCCAGCCCAGTTGGTCATTACTTATAGAATGCCTTTACTTATTAAGTTTCTTCATCAAGTTTTTCTTTGCACCTATGCTTCACAGACTTGTAGAAAGACCGACA